TCCCTCTCTTCGTATCATTGAAAGACGCGTTCAAGCTTGCTCTCTAAGAAGCGCTACAGCTCTCACCTGACCAGGCTCCTTCCTTCCACTCATCTGACCTAGAACTCGACTCGTCAATGGCAAGCTCTCCCCCCCCCCCATATTCTTCCCACCCCATCCTCTCCCCATACGCACATGCAGGGTCGTTGGAGAATTCTCTCACTGGCTCCCTGACTCTCTCTGCCAGCAACCTCAAGAGTCAATCTTAACATCGTCTTATCAACCTCTTCATCTTCTCACCCCATCCCCTCCCCATGCCTGCTCTGCTCTGCAGGGACGTCTCGGAGAATTTTCTCAAGGGCTCCCTGCCTCTCTCTGCGAGCGCCCTCAGCGGCCTACAGATGCTGTACGTTGAGTGGGCTAGCTAGGCTAGGGTTCTGATAGTGTCCCCATCGGCTCCCTGCCTCTCTCTGCCAGCGCCCTCAGCGGCCTACAGATGCTGTACGTTGGGCTAGGTTACCTCGTTCTTTTGTTTTCTTTTGTTTTCTTTGCTTTTCTTTGCTTTTCTTTTCTTTTGCAAGCTTTGAATTGCCTTGAAGCTCCTGTAAGACGCTGTAGGCTGGGTTCACCTTTCTCTGTGCAACCATGTGCCACAGCCATTGCATGGAACCATGTGGAACCACGCTCAACCATGTGTATTGATTCCATCAACACCCTCCACCCCATACCAACCCATCCCACCCTATCCCAACTTACTCCATCCCATCCCACCGCATCCCATCCCATCCCTACAGCAACATGGTCAACAACCGCTTTTCTGGCGAGTTACCATCCACTCTCGGCAATCTCACGAGCCTCACTCGCGTGTAAGCAAGCAGTGAAAGGCATTGTTGGCAACAGGTGGGAGCAAGTACCTACCATCCTGAGTGAAGTGCCTAACGACCGTTTCCTTGGCAATCTACCAACCGTGAGCGTCGCTTCAACAATTAGCTTCTTTGGCTTGTGAGGGTGTTGAGCGTATTGTTTGCTGCAGTCAGCCGTCTCTCTCGCTCTTGTAGCACTCGCCGCTGTTTTGCATCAAATCATCTGCCTATTTGCCTGCCCCTGTACGTGTGCAGGGAGCTGGGGAGGAACTATTTCACGGGCACTCTGCCGACCTCCCTTGGGCAGCTCACTGCTCTCATCAGCCTGTGAGTCTGCCGGCTCATGTGCTCCCAACATCATCCCTCTTGTGGTGCCTCCAACCTCACTGCACTCACTGTTCTACCTACGCACTAACCCTCTCACCTCTCACCTCTTACCTCCTAGAGACGCGTCTACCTTTGATAGTGTTTGGGGCGCCTCAAAAAGAGGCGCGTTTTACTGCAACCAGCAGTTACAGCCCTTACCAAAACCTGCCCTCCTTTCCTCCTTACCGGTTCTGAGCACTCAATACCCCTCGTCTCTTTCCTCTCACTCCTCTCCCCCTCCTTTCCCTTTCCCCCTGTCCTCCCTCTCTCCCTCTGTTTCCTTCACCATCTCCTCCCTTTCCTCCTCTCCTCCCTTTTCCTCTCAAATGCTTTCTCCGCTCTCCTCTCTCTCATCTCACTTCCGTTTCCTCCTCTCCTCCCTTCCCCCCCTCCTCACTCTTCTCCCCCTCCCGTCCCCATCATCAGCGGGCTACAGGGCAACACGCTAGGAGGCTCCATACCCTCTCAGCTGGGAGCACTGATCAGCCTGAACACACTGTACGTATCGTGATCGTGACGTGGCGTATCATAATTGTGTCATGATTGTGTTATGATTGTGTCATGACTGTGTCATGATTGTGTCATGACTGTGTCATGATTGTGTCATGATTGTGTCATGATTGTGTCATGATTGTGTCATGTCATATGGTCGAGCTTGGTTGAGCATGGTTGCCCCATGAGGGATTCTCAATCCTCGTTTCACATGTGGTCTCGAATATGAAGGGAAACTCCATCCATACCCTCTCAGTCAGCAGGGAGGTTACAATACAACCCATCAGCCTTAACACGTATGTATGCATACATCCTTCCCCTCACCATCGTGTCATGCTCGCGTGACCATGAATGAATGTATCAAAACCCTGACCAGCTTATGACTGATCCGTTTCAGCCCGCTTAACCCTTTCCCCCTCGTTTCCCCCTCCCTCACGCTTCCCTGGTACCAAAGACGTGGCTTGCAATCAGCTCCGCTCGGTCCTTTGTGGAAGCGAGGGATTCCTCAACACTCACTCCATCCTCCTCCCAGTTTTGAGGCGCCTCAAAACTCGGTCCTTTGTGGCTCCTCAACACTCACTCCATCCTCCTCCCCCTTTCTCTCCCCCTCTCCCCCCTCCCCCCCCCCCCCCCCCCCCCCCCCCCCCCCCTCTTCCCCCCATCACCAGTGACGTGTCCAACAATCAGTTGCGCGGCGCTCTCCCTGCAACCATTGGGAACCTCTCCGCACTCACTGACCTGTAAGCACACACACACACAGATGATATATTGTTGCCTGCACACACGCACTACACACTCGTAAGTCGAGTCACACATTGAACCTATATTTTTGCAGGTCTACGTCAAGACACACGTGACAATTCAGAACAGGAACCTCCCCGCACCGCTCTCGCTGAGCTGTGACCGCACTCACATGGAATGTCTTGCGGCCTGTGGCTGAGCTTAGAGGAGATTAGAACGAGTTAGATCAGTTGGATCTGGGTCGAAACTATTTTCCTACACACAAGGAATGGCTGGTGGCCTGTGTAGTACAGTGTACACTACACAGTATACCTACCATAGTATCGACTCGTGTTCAAGAATTCACAAGAATATCTCTCCGATTCGACATTCCCCCCCACCTCCACCATCACTTCCATTGCAGCAAAATAGGGGGCACGGACCTCACATGCCCCTCAGCAGCCGGCCACCCCCCATGCGGCGTGTGGCAGGACACGTCTCCTCCTCTGAATTCTGTCCAACTCAAACCCCCTACTCTTGAAACCCTACGCCCACTACAGCAAAATAGGCGGAACGGACCTCACATGCCCCTCAGCAGCCGGCCACCCTCCATGCGGCGTGTGGCAGGACGCCTCCTCTAAATTCTGCCAGACCTGCCCCGCCTTCTGCACCAACTGCTCCACTGCTGCCCTGCCTCCCAAGCCAGGTAACGCTGTAGCATGGTAGTAAGGTAGGTACTTGATTGGCGGTGGTAACCAGGCTACCCCCCATGCGGCGTGTGGCAGGACCCCTCCTCTGAGTTCTGTCAGACCTGCCCCGCCTTCTGTGCCAACTGCTCCACTGCTGCCCTGCCGCCTAAGCCAGGTAACATTGTAACAAGGTGACAAGGAGAATAGGTAACACAATACGGTAGGTACTTAGGTGGTGTCCCCAGCAGGCCGGCCCCCTCTGCCCCGCCTTCTGCGCCAACTGCTCCACTGCTGCTCTGCCGGCCTAACAAGGTAACCAGATAACGAGGTAGCAAGGTAACAAGGTCTAAGTTGGAAAAAACGCAGATTCGAAATTGCGTATCGAGTATATACGCTTCTGGAATTCGTACGCTGCGTATAATGTTGAAATTCGCCGAAGTTTGCTCGGGCTGACCGAAAAAAAAGTTTTGAGTTCGCAATCCGGCGAATTCAAAATTCGAGTCTCGAAGTTCAGATCTGAGATTGCACATTGCAAATTCAACCCCAGATCTGAATTTCGAAATTGTTTCCACCGCTCAATAACCCACTCCATCCCCATCAATGACCAACCCTTTCCAGCTTTGTCGTAGACACTTCAATGTCAGGTCATTTTTCCCTTCGATACTCAGCGTTCGTTTTCTTCCTTTCTTATCTCACCCGCGACAATGACCTCCACTACTACAGCAGCTCCCGTTTCATCTCTTAACCTAGAATCTAACCTACCCGGGCCAGCGAATTCTGTGCGTACCAGACCCCCTCCAGGCCAGCGTTCTGCCCGGGAAAAATATTTTCCTGCCCGGGCAAGCGGATTAGTGCGTACCAGACCCCTCACGGCCAGCGTATTGCGTTTAATCGCTAGCGTTTATACGAAAGCGTACTAAACGCAAAACGCGTTTTTCCAACTTAGAACAAGGTTGCTAAGTAACATTGCAACAAGGTAGCAAGTTACTATACGAGCTTCTATGCAAGCTTCTTCACAAATTTCATCAAAATTCAATGGCATAACAAGTTTCAAAACCACCCTAAAAAGACGGTCTACTACCTCGGCGTCTGCCCCAAAACTGTTGCAAATGGTTAGCTCATAACAACAAAGGCAGTCCATTTTTTTGTCGACTCAAAACTCCAAGGTTGCGAATAGGTACCTCATACAAAGGCAGTTCACAATCCGACAACACATCACACTTGTGCTCATTGCGGGCTTTTTTTAGTCGACTAAAAAACTTTTTGAAATAAGTATTTTTACTCGACTTAACAATCGGCAATCCTGTGTCAGCCAGCACAGTGCCCTTGTGCTCATGGCAGCCTTTCCCTCTTCCTGGTGACTTTTGAGTCGACTCGGTGACTTTTGAGTCGACTCGGTGACTTTTGAGTCGACTCGGTGACTTTTGAGTCGACTCGGTGACTTTTGAGTCGACTCAAAAGTCACCTCGTTAACAATCGGCAATCCTGTTTCAGGCAGCACAGTGCCCTTGTGCTCGTGGCAGTGTGCTGGGCACAGGAGTGGGAGCTGGGCTCAGTGCAGCCTTTCTTAGGCGCCTCAAAAATAGCACAGTGCCCTTGTGCAGCCTTTCTTACAGAAGGCAATCCTGTATCAGACAGCACAGTGCCCTTGTGCAGCCTTTCTTACAGAAGGCAATCCTGTATCAGACAGCACAGTGCCCTTGTGCAGCCTTTCTTACAGAAGGCAATCCTGTATCAGACAGCACAGTGCCCTTGTGCTCATGGCAGCCTTTCCCTCTTCCTGGCTCTGCTGTTATTGTTTGTTTTCTTTTTAGGCGCCTGAAAAGGCTTCTCAACTCAAGTGCCTCAGAAGCGCGTGTGTGCTCATTGCGTTCTTCCCCTCTTCCTGGCAATGCTGTTGTTGTTTTCACCTGCAGCTGCTCAAGTGCCAACGAGCCCAGCTCCCGCTCCCCCTCCTCCTGCTGCTGAATCGTCCTCAACCACCTCTCGCCAAGGCTTCATCGTCGGAATTGCTGTGGGGGCCGCAGCGCTGCTGCTGCTGGGCGCTCTTGGCCTCTACCTCTGGTTCCGCTGCTCCTCCAGAGGTGGGTGTGTGTGTGTAACCGTGTGAGTATGTGTGGTACCAGCACCACTCCTCCCCCTCCTCCTCCTCCTCCTCCTTTTCCTCCTCCTCCTGCTGCTGCTGCTGCTGCTGCTGCTGCTGGGTGCGCTTGGCCTCTACCTCTGGTTCCGCTGCTCCTCCAGAGGTGGGTGTGTGTGTGTTAGCGCGAGTCTGTGCGAATGTGTGTGGTAGTACCAGCACCATTCCTCCTCCTGCTGCTGCAGAATCATCCTCGTCCACCTCTCGCCAAGGCTTCATCGTCGGAATCGCTGTGGGAGCAGCGGCGCTGCTGCTGCTGGGTGCACTGGGAGCCTACCTCTGGTTCCGCTGCTCCTCCAGAGGTGGGTGTGTGTGTGACGCTGGTACCAACCAGTACGAACTGGTACCATGTGGTACCCCCCGGTACCCCTCAATGCTCTGCTGCTGGGTGCACTGGGAGCCTATCTCTGGTTCCGCTGCTCCTCCAGAGGTGGGTGTGCGAGTGTGTGTGTAAGAGCGTGTGTGTTAGAAGTGTGTGTGTAAGAGCGTGTGTGTTAGAAGTGTGTGTGTGTGTGTGTATCTAAAGCTCAGCTCCTGCTGCTGCTGCTGATCGGTGCACTGGGAGCCTATCTCTGGTTCCGCCGCTCCTCCAGAGGTGGGTGTGTGTGTGTGACGCTGGTACCCACCAGTACGAACTGGTACCGTGTGGTACCTCCTTGTACCACTCAATGCTCTGCTGCTGCTGAGTGAGCTAGGAGCCTACCTCTGGTTCCGCTGCTCCTCCAGAGGCGAGTGTGTGTCTGTGAGAGTGTCGTGTGTGAGTGTGTGTGGTACCAGCATGTGTGCTCCATCCTCCTCCTTTCACCCCGCCCTCCTCTTGTCGATACCCTGTGCCTTGACCCCTGTGCCTTGACCCCTGTGCCCTGTACAGCCAAGCCCAATCCTGAGAGCATTCCAAGTCTGGCCCTCATGTGTCGGCGCTCGCTACTCTCTGCTGCAAGTGACGACTTTTGAGGCGCCTCTAAAGTCATGAGGCGCCTAAAAGTCATGAGGCGCCTCTAAAGTCATGAGGCGCCTCTAAAGTCATGAGGCGCCTCTAAAGTCATGAGGCGCCCTAAAAGTCATGAGGCGCCCTAAAAGTCATGAGGCGCTCGCTACTCTCTTCTGCAAGTGAAGAGCATCACCTGTGCCCCATCCCCCTCCCTGCACCCTCCCATCCCCCTCCCCTTCTTCCTCTTACTCTTGCCCCCGTGCAGGCAAGCCCGACCCTCATCCCATCCCCAGCCAGATCCACATGTGCCGGCGCTACTCGCTGCAGCAAGTGAAGAGCATGTGTGCTCCATCCTCCTCCCTCCACCCCCTCGTCACCATCGTCTGTCCCCCTCGCCCTTGCCCATACCCTTGTCCCCGTGCAGGCAAGCCCGACCCTCATCCCATCCCCAGCCAGATCCACATGTGCCGGCGCTACTCGCTGCAGCAAGTCAAGAAGGCGACGGGGGGATGGGCAGAGGCGAACCACATTGGGACGGGCGGCTACGGGGAGGTGTATCGGGGGGTGTGCCCGTCTGATGACTCGGTGGTGTGGGCTGTGAAGCGTGCCAAGATACTCACGAATGACTTCAAACGCGAGGTGTGTGTTTGGTGTGGTGTGGTGCGGTGGGTTGCAGTGGGGTGTGGCAAGGTTTGGTGGGGTGGGGTGGGGTGTGGTGTGGTTTGGTGGAGTATGAAGCGATTGAGTAACGTGACAATGAGCACATGCCTTTAGCATGTCATGGCAGGCAGCTCACATTTCCCCCCCGTTTTTCCCTTTCTATTTTTCCTCATTCATTTCCTTTTCCTCATGCAGGTGGAGGAGATGGCATCAAAGAAGGTCTCACTCGTGCCCATCAAGCTTCCACAAATCTCCGCATGCCTCATTCTTTCATTTCATCCCCAATCAGGTGGAGGAGATAGCATCAAAGAGCCATCAGAGGCTCTCATTCACACACATTCATCACCCTTGTCTGTCTTTCCCCTCGCTTTCTCCGTCTTGAGCAGGTGGAGGAGATGGCATCAAAGAGCCATCCACACTTGGTGCGGCTGCTGGGGTACTGTGTGGACATGGATATGACAACCGAGCACCACGAGCAAATCGTTATCTATGAGTTCTGCTCGAATGGGGACCTCGAGAAGTATCTAAATGGAGGTGAGAGAAGTGTCTCAAATTACAAAAGCCTTATTTCTCTATAATCCAAGGTAGGCGGATTGATAGAGGGCTAATGCCCAATCACGAAAAGCGGTTGGATACACCAATCACAAGATAGAGGCCAATCGTGGTGGATCGGTGCAATCAAGCACTTTGTTTGCCTTCCAAGTGCTCTATCACGAAGGGTGGATTGACATCCCAACGTAAATGTATACCCAAAGTGGGTTACATGCCCAACCCAATTACAACCCACACGTGGTATATATCCACACTATGTATATATGTAAGAACATACTTAGGTATCTATACCTAAGATATAGGTATGTACACTTAAATATATGTATATAGTTTTCACCCTAATATATATATATATGTGCTTTGTCTATATATATGTAACATTTAAGTATATATAGATATTTATGTATTCATGTATATATGTTTATGTTCTGGTATATCTATGTATATTGTATATCTATGTATATCTCTGTTCATACACGTGTATATATATTATTTATGCACGTATGTATATTTTCTAACATGTTGTCGTGTACTTGCCAATGTCAGGTGCTCGGGAGGGCGATTTGACGTTGCAGCAGCGCATGGATGTGCTGGTGGGAGTGGGGATGGCACCATGTAGGCTGGTTCAACTCACCTTGAGCCTTCCTTTTTTTATGTGCTTTGCCTTCCCTTGCCACAGGTGCTCGGGAGGGGGAACTGACGCTGCAGCAGCGCATGGATGTGCTGGTGGGGGTGGCAGTAAACAATAAACAACACTGACCTCTTTCTTAATGCTTGCAGGTGCTCGGGAGGGCGAGCTGACGCTGCAGCAGCGCATGGATGTGCTGGTGGGGGTGGCACGGGGGTTGGAGTACCTCCACCAGTTCGACATCGTCCATCGAGACATCAAGCCCGCCAACGTGCTGCTCGATGCGCGCATGCAGGTACAGGGAGGAGGAAAGGTACGGGAGATGCGGAGCGGAGTTGTGGGAGAGAGAGTGTGATAGTTGAGTGCGGTGTAGTGCGGTTGGGGAGGCAACGTGCTTGGTTTGCTCTTCCTAACACGGCAAAGCGGGCGGAATTCATTAAAGGTTGGTCAGGTTGAGACGATCGTCGCTCTTGAACCTTTTTCTAGGCGCTCATGCCCTCAAAAGCCGTCTCTTAACCTACAGTAGTTGTTGCTCTTGTTCCCCTGGCTTCTACGAGCATCTCAGCATATGTTGGGGAGGCAACGTGCTTGGTCTGCTCTGCTCTTGGTGGTTCACGAAGCGTCCCTATTCTTAGCCAGGCTGATCCCAGAGAATGCAATAACGCATTCAATCGTAACAAGGCGTATAGTGTAGGTTCGGCCTGCAAAAGCATTTGCCAAGGATGTCTTTGTTAATCAAGAACGAAAGTTGGGGGCTCGAAGATGATTAGATACCGTCCTAGTCTCAACCATAAACGATGCCGACTATGGATCGGTGGATGTTACATTCACGACGCCATCGGCACCTTGAGAGAAATCAAAGTCTCTGGGTTCCGGGGGGGGTATGGTCGCAAGGCTGAAACTTAAAGGAATGCATTTTCCAATCGTGTAAATCAACAGTTCCTCGGATCTAAGCTCATAGTGGAGTAGCAGCGAACCTGAAGAAAACGCTTATAGTGGAGTAGCAGCGAACCTGAAGAAAACGCTTATAGTGGAGTAGCTCTTGTATAAAAGCCGATGCATGAGTAGGGATTCGTTTACTATGTGACTTTTGAGTCGACTCATAATTTTTTTTCTCTCTCTCAAGAAATTAGTTCCTCCTGCAAAACTGGTCCATCGGTAGTGTAATTAAAACCGACATGTCTCTTGGCGGTCTAACCCAGCTCACGTTCCCGATTGGTGGGTGAACTTTGATTCACTTTTCGGGATTCAGGAGTTTTTTTCTGGTGATCATGAGAGTCACATTTGCCATTATCCCATCCTCCTCTCCCCTTGCCCACCAGGCGAAGGTGTCAGACTTTGGGCTGGTACGGATAACGGAAGGCACCACAGTGAATCCCACCCGAGTGGTCGGCACTCCGGGCTATGTGGACCCCGCTTACTCGCGCACCAGCAAGGCCACACCCATGGCTGATGTCCATAGGTGGGTGTTTGAGGCGAGAGCAGAAATCGCAAAAGCAAGGCCTCCCCCATTGCTGATGTGCACAGTTAGGAATTCTGAAACCTTTGTGATTTGTTGGTGCACCAGATGATATTGTTTCGATCCCCTGCTTCGTTTCTCCCTGCAGCTACTGGTTGTGTTGCTGCACCAAATGATATTGTCCTATTACCCCATGCGATTCTCTTTCCACCGCAGCTACGGTGTGCTGCTACTGGAGGTGATAACGCTGAAGCCGGTGTTTTCTTTATAAGCTAAATCACTACATCATTACATCCTGATGCCGTATCATTCGGTACCCCCATGTGCCTCATTCCTCACTGCAGCTACGGTGTGCTGCTACTGGAGGTGATAACGCTGAAGTCTCTCTGATTGTGTTGTAGCACCAAATCAAATTGTTCTATTCTCCCATGTGATTCTTTCCCCACCGCAGCTACGGTGTGCTGCTACTGGAGGTGATAACGCTGAAGCCAGTCATCCTCTCGCTGAACTGAATCACATCCTGTCATCATTTTGCTCCCCCGTGTGCCTCATTCCCCACCACAGCTACGGTGTGCTGCTACTGGAGGTGATAACGCTGAAGCCGGTCATCCTATCGATCGACGGCGGGCAGTACAACATCAAGGACTGGGTACGTGTGTGCGTGTAGCAAACTTACAGTGCAACGTTGTCTACACTCACTGCAGTAATGTGCACCATTATAAGCACATTGTATATATAATGTACATATATATATGTGTAGATGTATATATATACAGGTTGAGCCGTTAGTGGAGGAGAACATCGTTGGAACATTCTCAGAAACCTATTTTTCATCCCCACCTTTGCGTCACATTACTACATGACCGCATCAACATTCTTCACATGTAGTTTCACATCCCTTTCCACCTTCCCATTTCCCACTTCCCACCTCCCCACCTCCCCTCCTCCCCATCTTCCCACCTTTCAGGTTCGCCCGTTCGTGGAGGAGAGCAAGGTGGCAGCATTCAAGGACCCCCTCCTTCTGCACAGCCTCTCTGCCTCACATCTCCTGACGCATCTTGATGTTCTTCCCACCTTCCCACCTTTCAGGTTCGCCCGTTCGTGGAGGAGAGCAAGGTAGCAGCATTCAAGGACCCTCTCCTTCCAGAAGCTTCCGACGATCTCATCCCCTCCCCCATTACTTTCCTTCCATCCATCCCTTGGCCCACCCAGGTCCGCCCATTTGTCGAGGAGAGCAAGGTGGCAGCATTCAAGGACCCCCTCCTTCCAGAAGCTTCCGACGATCTCATTCTCACTCTCGCCAAGATCGGCCTGCAGTGCACCGCCCTCCCCGCCTCCTCTCGACCCAGCATGTCTGAAATATCCCGCAAGCTCGAAACCCTAAGAAAGGACTACTTTCGCAGGAGCAGCGTGGACGGCGACGGCCCAGATTCTGCTGACGTGGACCAACGGTTGGCTAAGATTGACCAGGAGCTTGACAGGCGGGCGGAATCGGGATTGTCGATCCAAGCAAAGTTTGTTCGGCTGAATATTATGTCGGAAAGCGGGGAGTATATTAAGGAGACTGAGATTTCTGCTGCTACTGGTGGTTACTCCAATCGTTCTTCAGGGGTGATGCTGCTGCAGTCTCAGGAGATTTCTCAGGAGTTCTGTCAGGAGATTCCCAGTGGCAGGTGACAGACTAGCAGCAACATGTGTTGCAAATTCTTCTCTTTCCTTTTTTACTTATAGTTTCTGAAGTTTGCCCTACTTTGTATGTCAGGTTCCTGAACTTATTGTAACGATGTGGGAAGAAGCCTATTGCCTACTCCTGTAACTTTGTGTATAAGGTGTATTTATTGGACAGGTACCTAAAGCGTTTTTAGCTGGAACCTAAACTTGAGATTCTTTCTTTGTGTGCGAACAGTGCACATGACCGAAGTTTAGTATGCAAGAATTGAAACACATGAGATTGAAAATCGCTCGGACAATAACTTTTGCATAAGCATGAACATTGGTATACAACAAATCCTATGCTTTGCTGCACAGAGGCGGCTATCTCAAGTTCCCCGAGCATCATGACTGGTCTCCCTTCCCCCACAGCTGTACCCGTCAGTGCCATCATACCCTGTGATGTTCCCATGGTTACTTTCACTTCTTGGCGGCAGGTGCAGCCTCGGCCGCTGCAGGCTCCTGAACGCCCTGTGGAGGAAAATGCAGAGTGCGGGAGAAGGGTCACACGGATGGGGGGATGGGAGGGAACATGGGCAGGGGGGTGGGAGGGAACATGGGCAGGGGGGTGGAGGGAACATGGGCAGGGGGGTGGAGGGAACATGGGCAGGGGGATAGGGTAGAAACTAAGTGTGAGGAAGGCACAAGGGCGAGGTGGAAGAAGACTCGGCCGCTGCGGGCTGCTGAGCGCTGCGGGCTGCTGAGCGGCATGTGAAGGATAAACCTAAAAATATCCTCTTGAAAAAAACCTGAAAAAAAATCTCGTGAAAAAACCTTTTCTCGAAAAAAACTTCCTTTTCAGAAGCCTTTTTTCTCGGCGCAGGATGCCCCAACCCAGACCAACCATTCTACACCCGTTTCGGTCAGAGTCCCCAAACCCCAAACTCCTCCGAACCACCTTCCCCCTCTCCCGCCTCCTTTCCTTTCCCCCCTCCTCAAACCCCTCTCCGCTTGTTCTTGAACACGCCACCCTGCACCGCAGTCAACCACTCCCAACCACCACCCCACCGCACTGAACCACTCAGAACCGCCCAGAACCGCACTCAACCACTCATAACCGCCCACCGCACTGAACCCATTCTCACCTGCGCCAACCGCTCCTCCCGCCGAGCCATCTTGCGCTCCCTGGACGCCTTGCTCTTTGCGCGGCGCGCCTCGAACTGATCCGTGAGCGTCTTCTCGCGAACCTTCTCCGCCTTGAGCTTGTGAATGCTCTCCATGAGCACGCGCTTGTTCTTGTACACGCCACCCTTGACCTTCATGTACAGCTCGTGGTACAGGTGCTTGTCGATCTTCTTCGCCTCGCGATAACGCTTCAGCATGCGCCGCAGCACGCGCATGCGCCGCAGCCAGAGCACCTTCGTGGGGAGACGCGCCTCGCGAGTACCGCGGCGCTTACCTGAAGATTGAAAAAGGGGGGAAGAAGGAAAGGGAGGAGGTCGGGGGAATGGGCGGGGAGCGGGGGAGGCGGGGAGGGGAGGAGGCGGCGGGGAGGAGAGCCGGGAGAGGAAGGAGAGGGGGATGCTTTGAGAACTAACGTCCGTTCCAGTCACACGTCGAACGCAAAATCTTTCTCAAAAATGCCACCCACACTCCTAAATGTAAGTCTAATTTTTTTTCTCTGCAGGACTCCACACTACACTAGGAATTCGAAGCGAACATCGATTTTTTTACTCAGCGATCTGCCCGCTAAAACATCGCGACGGCCTCTCTGTGGAAGGATAAACGCTACGCTTGGATTGACTTCGCCCTAAACTCCACTATGTTACATCCTGAAGCGCCGTTGGCGGGCGCCGTTGAAGGCGCCGTTGGCAGCGCCGTTGAAGTCGCCGCTGGCAGCGCCGTTGGACAGCTTTGCTCGAATTCCAAAAGTAACGCCACGATCGCTCAGGGCGGCACTCTCCTACGGAACCTTCTGCTCCACCCTACGCTAGATCGCTTCAGCTCCGCCCATCCCCTCGCCGAACAATCTGCTGAACCGCCTGGCGGAAACTTGGTCCAAATCCTTCTCGCAGATAGAAAAATCTGGCCGTAACCATGTTCATAATCAGTAGAGAAATTCGAAAAACAGCCTACTTGATGGTGAACAAAAATGCTTCAGCGCATTCGATCAAACCTGGTCTCTCCCATCTCCAGTCAAAACTCAAGGGGGATCCGTAAGTCCTACGCAGTTCTCGAGACCGATCTAAAACGGCTCAGCACTCTCCAACGAAACCCGAAATTTCAGTCTAAGACGGCTCAAAACTCTGCTGCGCAGCCCTAGGGTCCGTGAGCCATGCACCGGTGACGGCGCGCCGATGCGAAAAGCCCCTGTCTATCGTTACTAAAGCCTGTTCCTTGAGCCGGTTTGTAAGCCCTTGGATAGCGCGCGTCTCTCGATTATATCACCGTCACGAATCACTACCGGAACTGTCGCCGCTACCATGATCACTGTCACCGTGTATGACTAGACGCGCCCTTGTCGATCCCTACCGTGACTTCCACTTGACCTCGAACAGCCGGCAAAAGCAGAAGGTTGTTTGAGAATCACACCAAGAAATGCGCATGAGTGTACTCACAGATCACGTGTCCTTACCGTGGCCAGTGTGGCGGCCCTTCCTCTTGGCCTCGAGCAGGCGGCGCGCGCGGAAGCGCGAGTGGATCTTCTGCGGCTTGCGGATGATGAAGCCGTCCTTCACGAGCTTGCGGATGTTTTGCCCTGAAATGGCGGAGGAGCAGGGGGGAAGGGATAGGGGGAACGAGGAAGGGGGAGCGGGAGGCGGGGGAGGAGGGGGAGCGGGAGGGGAAATGGAAGGTGAGAGGAGAGGGAAAGCATATTTTGCGGCTTGCGGATGATAAAGCCGTCCTTCACGAGCTTGCCGATGTTTGGCCGTGACCGGGGGGAAACGGGGCGGGAAAGGAGGGGAAGGGGGTTCAAGACGGTAGACTTCGGTCGGCTTCATCAACTTTTCAAATCAGCTTCACGAGTGGCTTCGGGGTGTCTCGTTATAAACGAGCGGAGAACGGGAGACCCAGGAAGACCTCTCAATCAAAAAGCTAGATTCGTATCCCTCAACCCGACGGAGTTCTCAGAAAGACGATAAACGGAAGCAGGACTCAATCGCGATAGCCAGCAAACCACTCGAGTGTGAGAATGCGGTGCATAAGAACATGCAAGGCGAAGCTGAGGTGGCGAATCCCGAAACAAACGTTTTAAATTTTGGAATCGAAAGTGAAGCTATTTGAAAGTAGACTGGCGGAGAAAACTGGCAGCGCATAATCCTATCTTCTTAATCAAAACGGAGCGGCGATAGTGATAGAAAGTGAGGGTGGAGCGAGGACGCTGGAGCGACGATGGTGAGGCGAGAAGGTTAGAATGATGGGCGTGGGGCGATGAGGGTGGGGCGAGGCGAGCGGAGAATCGAGAGAGGAGCGTGGCGAGTGCGATGCGAGAGGAGCGACGGTGGGGCGAGGGTGAGGCGAAATCTCGTGAGGGTTAGGGTAACGCACTGGAGTTGGCCATGGAGATTTCGTTGACTTCATTGGGATCCATCCACACCTTGTTCCGCCCGCAGTTCAGCACGCTCGAAGCGAGCCGCTTCTGAAGCTTAAGCGACACCATGGCTGCTGCGTTGTCTTCAGCTAGGTAACGATGTTGGGAAACGGACTAACCCTAAGACGAGCGAGACGGCCTTAGGAGCCGGAAAAGAGGAGGCGAAAAAGAGGTAAGCCTAGTTACTTACACCCTGGGGAGGAAGCAGAACGGGGAGGAGGGGAGCGTGGGGAAAGAAGGAAGCAGGGTGGGGGAGCGGAAGGGGGGAAAAAGGTTGAGGGAGGAAAAGGAAAGAGGGGGAAGGGAAAACCGGCGGAGGAGAGCGCAAGGAAGGGAGCAAAATAATCCGCTGGCAGTGGGAACGGCGCAAGACTGAGGGCAGTAGGCGCACCTTGTGAGTGGCGGAGGGAGGTCACAGGCGGAACACTGTACTCGGTTTTGCGAAATCGGCTGAAAAACCAGCGAATTTTGTAATGGAACGGACTTGCTACTGGTGGTCAGCCACCGGGCGGAATGAAGGTCATGCATACGCTGTACTCCCGCTGTAGTTACTTTCGAGACACGTTTCGCCAGCCCAGAAAGGATATCGCGTGCCTCGCGCACGCCTTGAGCGAGACGTAATACCCTTTCGCTCAGATTTGGGTTTAAGCAAAAGGCTGAAGCGTATTTCTACGCCTCATATCAAGCAACCTCGTATCAGACTTGCCTCGTAAAACTAGCGAGAGGTTTCGGGTTTAGGGAAATTTTCAGTGTGAGCCTGATGGAGGTTCGCTTGATACGAGGTGTAGGAATACGCTCTGAATATATTCTAGTCCCCAATGCAGTGAATCGATAACAAATATACGGTAGCATCACAAAACTCGAATATACCAAATGTGAAATCACAATATAGACAAACAGCACATCCATGACCGGAGACAACAAAATTAGCCATTCGATTTATGCTCTTCCCGATTCTTGGTTCCACGTATTTTCCAACTCCAGCAAACGGTCCCCTTACTGTTACGATATGAAATTCAATGAGTAGGGCATTCCTGTATGCTGCAGGAGCCGACTCTACCGAGTACGAAGTCGATGAGTCTGAAGAGTCGAAGCGACACCAGCAACCGTCAGATCAAGACTGATGCAGGCAGAAGCATTTGAAGTGAAAAGAGCGGGAACATGTTTGAAACGGGTTTCGGCGCCGCACGGTTGAACTTCGCTGTAATAAGGGAATGTACCCCTTAGAGTACATGGCTAGTCTAGGTCGTTTCGTATTCCCTGTATTCTATATAAAAACTGTCAAACTATATGCTTGTGTTATCTCTAGGCTATAGTGGGTTAGCCTACAAGGGGTACAACAAACTAGGGTTAGGACTACTTGTACTGTCCTTTCATCTAAATGCATTCATTCCTGCACAGTGATTCTGACATGGTATTCAGAGCAGGAAACCTG